ATCTCCCCAGATCTATCCAACGGCTGTGAAGATTCTAAATTAACACGAGTCTCATAAGTGTCCAGTTTAAGGGTATTACACAGAAACACACCATAATAACATGAATCAAATATGTACTTTATTCATTTACATTAAATGTCATAATGTACATCATTCTGATTGGAGCTAAGGACATACACTATCTAACACACTCACCAAGAAAAGCTATATTTTTCTTCTCTATATTACCTATGCCAAGACCCCTCCTACTCCTTTCTCTTACACACTATTTCCCATTTGACCAAGTGGTCCTTCCTTCACTAGGCTCCCACGACAAATCCTTCATGATCCTCTATAATTTCACACCTCTTTCTGTGGCATCCTAAAAATTGAAAGGTAGAAAATTGGCAGATTTGCTAAGGTGGATCTTATCAAGGTTATTCTTCCCTCAAAGATATATAGTTTCTCTTCCAAACAGCCAATCTCTTAGCACAACTTTCTACAATTGGGCTCCAAAACCTACCTTCCCGTAGGTTGTCTCCTAAATATTTGATGAATCTTAGTTGGCCATATATCAAATACAATCTATACATTTATTTTATATAATTATATACATATTTTGAATCCATTGCTTAGTGTGGTGGTAAAATCTCAAGCTGAGACTGTTTCACCATTCCGTTCTATTTAATGCCTTATCCATTGTTAAATTGGCATTAAAAAGATGAAGTTCCTTTTTTTCTTTCAGCATACAAGTATAAGCAACAAGTATTTTATCATCATACTTCAAGAAAGGCATAACCAGTGTTGCTACAGAAATTTTGGGCAAACCTTGATTTATTTGCATTAGTATAACTAATGCATCCAAAAGTCAAATTTCATGTCCAATGGGCAACGAGTCATCAAGATAGTAGTAAATATATCAGCACCTCAAGTGTATAGATATTGAAAGAGAAATCTTTTATATACGCATTATCTGTAAATTTCCCAAATATTAACTTTAGCTTAGCTACAAACTTACAATATCCTTCAACCAACTAGAAGTTATCAAATTGTTCAACATTTTTAAATAGTAAACAAAAAAAAAACACTAAATTTACCATAAAACAATAAATAGTCTAAAGTAAAGTAGCACTAGTATTGTGGCCCACCCTTTCCAACACCTTGGAGGGCGTTTATGGGCTGCCAAAGAGCTGAGAAAGTGATGCCGATGCTAAACAAATGAACTGTGCTTCCAGCCATCCACATCATAAAGCCCATCATTAAAAGATTCTTGAAAGGCGCTTGCGCCACTTCCCAAGCTTTCTGTTCATAGAAGAAGGGGAAGAAGATAAGACCTTAAAGAGTTCTGCTTCTGGTATTTTAAGTGGCAAAGCTTGTCAAAGATGGCATTATTTGATAAAACTTCCCCAAGGCAGAAAGTACAACAATATGCACTAGATAGACAAAGTCAAACAAAGAAAATTCAGAAATATAAAGCAGAATACAAATCTTATTTAAATGAAAACAAATATCTGCAAACTACTTCCGGAAAATCTCAACAGGTTTAGTAAGCATTTGATTTTGAACCCTTGAATCCAGTTCTGTGTCTCCCCTCTATACACTTGGATCACTTATGGTACTGAATCTGTTAATCCTCTAAACTAGTGAAGTGAAACCGGGAGGGGGGGACTAAAATAACACTTCACAAACTGGGCGGCTAAAGTCGAAAGCTGTCTAAGTAGACTGTTTCTGCATCAAATTCTGAACCCCAATCTAAACAATCATAAATAGAAAGGATAGAAAATTTCATAGGACTCTGATTTGAGTGTACAAGACAAGACAAGATCAAACACTAAAGCTAAGCACCTAACCCTAATCGAAGCAACGGCGAAAATACCTGCGCTTTCCAGTTCGCTTCGGCGTCCTTTTTTTGACGACTAACAGTCGAATCATCCTACATAAAAATAAATAAATAAATAAGAAAAAAAAGAAAAAGTAGTCAAAAAAATTAACAGAACTTCAAGAAGGATCCATGGACGTAGATCGAAGAACACCAATAAGATATAGAAAACAAATAACACAACTGATATCTTATGAATTTGAAGTAGAAAAAGAAAAAGAAAGGTGGAGAGAAACCTGATCTTGAGAAGCTCGAGCATAACCAAGAGGATCTGGAATGTCACGAGAGGAAGGGGAGGTTGAATTGTCAGTAAAATCTATGGCCCATCTTCGCGCCACGACTCCCTTTCCCTTCTCCATCCTCTCTCTCGCTCGTTCCTCTGTCGTCCTATTAACTATTTAACCCGTTCACGGTGACCGGATCGTAGTCTCGTAGATATTGTTTTGTAGGTCAAGCGGAAGCGGCTATAGCCTATATAAGCCTATAACTTTATATCCGAGTCACTTTTATGTCTTTACTCAACTGATATTATTATATCGGCCGATACAAAATATCAACAAAAATTATCATGGAGGTTAAATGCAAGTATTTGAGTCCGGATCACCTGCCACCAAAATATATTCCAACAACCTACCAACATGATCCGACACCACACGTCTCATATATGATAGGTCTCACTTTTATGGTGGTTCTCATGGGCAATGCTATATCAAGTTGGTAGGGAGTTGGAACATGTTTTGTTGGCAGGAGATTTCAATTCAAGAGGAGTCTAGATCACTTGCTAACAAATTACATTCCAACAACCTACTAACATGATCTAACATCGCACGTCTCATACATGGTGGGTTCCACTTTTATGGTGGTTCTCATGGACAGTGTTAGATCAAGTTGGGATGGTGTTTGGAACATGTTTTGTTGGCAAGAGATCTCAACTTGAGAGGAGTTCGGATCACCTGCCAACAAAACAAGTTCCATCCTCTACCAACATAATCTCATACCACACATCTCATACATGGCAGGTCCCACTTTTATGGTGGGTTCTAGTCTCATAGTGAGATGTGCGGTGTTAGATCAAGTTGGTAGAGGGTTGGAACATATTTTGCTGGTAGAAGATCTCAACTCTAGTGCAAGTAGGGGTGTTCATGGGTCAAGTTAGGGTCGGTTAGAGTCATTTTATTCAACCGACCCAACCTAGCCTGTTTACTTATTGACTAAACCAAAACCGACCGACCCTGAAACAAAATCGACCCAAACATGAATGTCGGTTTGGGTCGATTTATCGGTTTAGTCAGTTTTTATATATATTTTTAAACTAAAATATCTATTTCTAAATATCTATTTATATTTAAGTTTATTTCTTTTTAGTTTTTATGCAAAATCAAAATATATATTTAAATCGATTAGTTTTTTTATGCAAAACTGATTTTTTTGTCAACATATATTTAAATTTATAAAAAGCTGAATTAAATATTGTACCATTTTATTATATTTGTATTGGTTTTGCTTTCTAGTTTTTATCATAAATAACCAATTTTTTTTTTCAAAGTTCAAACAAAACAAAAATAAAATATATCAACATTTAACCCATAGGGTAGGGACTAATTAATAATTACTTAAACATATAGGATCTCTTCGGTTCCAAACCAAGTTGTCGGTTTATTTTCTCATACAAACTGAAACCGACCGGTGGTTTTGAAAAACTGACCAACTCAAGTTGGGTCGGGCTGGTTTGGTCGGTTTGATCGGTTTAACATTTAATGTGAACACCCCTAAGTGCAAGTACCATTTTGTGAGACTAAATCTCATCTCACCTCTTTGCCCCTCTCTCACTCTCTCTCTCTCTCATTCTTTGTCAAATCAAACACAAAGCTTTTGACAAGTGAAACAAACTACTAACAAAGCCAAAAAAAGAATTGGGATATGTTCCTCACACCGGACCTTACAGCCGCATCCCATCATGTATTGGAAATAAAACATCTCCCCATATGAATAATAAATACAAATATGGGAGTTATTCTCAATGTGTGGCCAGGACATGCTGTGAGGAGCAGATCCAGACAGCCATTAAGGCTATGTTTGATTTGAAAGAAAAGGTAGAGAAAATAAGGTAAACACAACATAATGTCCAACGGGGGAAGGACCCCAAATGCCAGAGGCCCAAAACACATCTAACAGTTCAGCCTTCTGAACCACTAATGCTAAGCCAGTCTTTGGAACCAATGCTGTTTTCTTGAAAAATGGTGTCACTTCAATGCCATGTCTGAAATCCGTTTTTTCAGACTATGCTTGAATGTTTGGTTATACTTTTTTTTTTCAAATAAAAAAGTTTTCTCACACCACGTCTTAAAAATCGGGAATGGTATAGTCTGAGAAAATATCAAATTTTTATGTTTTTTCATTTTTTATTCTTGCTATCAACAGTATGCTGATGTGGCATTGAAAAACGCCTATGTGGTAGCAACTAGCAATGGTCCAAAAAAGCGTTTTTTGATAAAACACATTCTAAAAAAAAAAAAAAAACCCTTGAAAAACAGCACTAGTTCAAAACATGGCCTAAATAGGCAGGCCTAACAAAGGACCTTGGGATATACAAAAGCCTTACAAGGTTAAAACAGGAAACTAAACTAGAAACTTTGTCCACCAAAAAATCATTATGCCACTCAGAGGCATCTGAAGATCTTTGAACGGTTTCCACCAAGTTCTTTGCATCCGAGAGAACAACCAGCTTACTCCAACCTCTATTCTTAGCCAAACCAAGAGTTTCAAAATCTCTACAAGGCTTAGTTAGTGAACATAAAACGATATCTATGATGCTAGAAAGGTATGGTACCAAGAGAAGTAGAGAACTTCCACCAACCAATCCATGTGAACTTGGATGAATACTTTTTGAGATGTGTGGACATAGATCATGTTGGAATGGTTTTTTTGTTGGGAGGAGATCCAGTCTTCTGATTGGCTACTACTATGATGATATTGGTTGACTGATAATAAGTTTTTAAGGTATCATACTCTTTTTCATAATCGGACTAGATAAACCACAATGGACATTTTGGTCCATTTGATTTAAAGTCAAGCTAAATAGGGGTACTATCTAGATATTTGCAAAACTTTGATGTCATGTGTGGTTACATAATTGATAGGGGTGCTCAAGGTTCGGTTAACCAAACCCTGGAGGATTTTTTGAAATCGAACCAGTCCTACCAGTTTTTGCATATCTCCAATTGAAACTAAACCAATACCATTGGTTAACCGGTTCCAGTTTTTAATCAGTTTGGTTCTTCAATTTTTTGGTTTTTTATATTTATACATATATTATAAATATGCATATTATATTATTAATACTATAGATATATATATATATATAATATATGTATATACTTATATATAATATATAGATTATATGTGAGATAAATACATTAAAAAATATATAATATACATATAAATACATATATCGATTAGTCCAGTTAACCATTGGTTTTTTATAGGTTAACCGAAAATCGAACCGTTCCTTCGATTTTTCAGAAATACCAAATAGATCAATTTGATTAACTACATTTTTTTGTTCAATTTTCTCAGTGCACTTTAGTTTTTTGATTTTTCAGTTTTTTATGAGTACCCCTAATAATTAATAGCAACTGAGGCAGAATAAATATAGGGGTGTTTTTTGTCTTGCCATAGAGGTAGGGGTGCATGCCAGGCGTTTTGGGCCAGGTTTTTCTTGAGGCTCAATTTGGAAGGAGTACAAATACAAATATGCACAGTCCAAATGCATATAAAATAATACAAAATACAAGGTTTTGCACTCTACAAATTTATATTTGTACTGTTTCCAAACTGAGCCTAAATTGTCAGCTCATACCGAAATTTGATGCCCTTAGGTTGAGCTTGCCATTCAGGCTAAGCTCAAGTTGTTAGTTCACACTAAAAATTCAAAACCAGACCATGTAAAATTGTCAAAGCTCAGGAGGTCAGTGTCTTCTTTAGAAAGGCAGAGGTTTTTGTATTTGTCAAAAACCATAGGGGAAGTTAAGGATTTTTCCTATTGGGCTCTGTGGGAATTTGGCTCAGTAGCGCGGAGTTGTGAAAGCAATGATAGCGCTCCACGCTCAGTAATAAAATACATGGGCCCCAGACTATTGTTGGTTTCACAGCCTGCTGAACAGCTAAAGCGTTCAGCTAATCTTCTCCCTTGTCGGGACGATACAACGATTATGGTTGGAAACGTGGAATGACACCAAATTGTAGGAACGTCAAATTGATGTTTTTTATAATCGCCCCAATACAAAATTGTAGAGACCACATTGTGTTGGTGTTTTTACATAAGTAGGCATAAGAAACATGATTTTGCCCATAAACTAAATGCTATTTAAATGCAACAGCAGATGAACACCATGACAAAATGCAGTCTCAGGGGCTGTTTTTAATAACGGCTGAAGTGGCTCAACTAAATGGCTTATTACCTTGTATTTTAGCGAATAAAGAATTAAATAATAAAACATTTGAGGATTTAGTAATCAACCCAACTTCAGATTCATCCGTTAAGGAGGTTTAAACCTCCAACTAAAATACAAAGCAACAAGTCATTCAGTTCAGCCATTAAATGTGGAAACAAATTCTGCATTTGGTCTCTTGAGAAGTTTGACTGTATGCACCAGATGTCTAGGTTCTCCCATGAGCTCAGGCTCTTGTGTTTTCTCTGCAGAAGACTAGCAGGTAGCTTAGGCTCCTGTTCTTAAGCCTTGTTAGGCTTGCAAGCAGAGTAAGGCCCCGTTTCGCGTGTCTTCTTGCACGGGCTGTCGACTTTTTAGAAGCTCGACAATCCACGTTTTGGTTTTTCCTGTTTGGTTGGAAAAAGATCTAGTTTCTGAAAGCCACAGCCCTAAAAAGGCGTGAAAGCCAATTTCGGGCTATTTTCGAGAAACTCCAAATGGAGTTTTTTGCCTTTTTTTCAACTCGTCTTCACGGGAAAGATGCACAAACAAATGCACCTTAACCAACCAGCCTTCAAACTGCTAAGATCTTGAAGCAAAAGCTAACATCCTCTTTTGACTGTCAGAGCTTCCAAAAGATCTATCAAAAAAGACTTGCCAAACGACCCCGAAATTTATTTCAATCTTTCCAAAATCATTTTGATGCAACTTTAGCAATAGGAATAATATCATATGAATAACAAGTTAACAACCACCAGAAATGAACTGAACATTCATGAGGAAAGGACTATTTTTGTCCTTCCTTGTTGACAAATAACTTGTGCTCCCTTTCTTCCCTCAACACATCTCATCAGTTGTCGCCAAAAAGAGAAAATCAGAAAGAAAACAAAATGCAAGAGTAAAAATAAAGCCCTCACAATAAGGAATTAATTGCTTGAGAAATATGATACATATATTTTTTTTTTTATAACTATCCGTTTACAAATAATTTACAATTCATAAATCTGATGCTCTGTAGGTAAAACCTGACAATCAATATTTATTAGGAATGAGCTGGAGAAATCTGACCTTGCTGATCATATTGCTGGTCAGCTTCTAAAATGCCCATAGATGATGATGCCATAGTTGGAGATGGCTCCTTAAGAGGACTACTGTCATCCCCTTTTACAACAGATGTTACCAAGGTAGGAATAATAGGAGGCTTTGTTCTTCGGGTAACTGTCATCTTCAACCCCTCAGTTGTGTGAATGGTTGCTCCTGTTGTCATCTCAACCTGTAATGTATGTTCTTTTTTTATTTGTTCACTTTGCTTTGTAAATCGTCCTATTAAGGAATTTAGATTTCTCTGCTCAGTAGAGGAAATGTAGAAGAGAGAAACTTACTGGGGGTGCCCCAACGGCTATTTGAAAGTTAAATCTACGAACAAGCATTGAAAGTGCAACCACAGTCTGCAAAACAAGTTGAATATTTAACTCCTTTTTTTTGATAGTTGAATATTTAACTCCTGAATATAAAGCCTGGGGGATGTCTTAACTCACGTTTTTGGAATTAGGATCTGAAAATTACAGCTTTGTGAATCCATTCTTGATAAACATTTATGATCAGTTAATGTTTTCAAGATAAACCAGTATCATGTGTCAAAGAATTTTGCTCCTTTTGTTTATAGACAACTATTTGAATGAATTTGATGCCACAATGTCATCAGTATCCCTAGTTTTTTAATCAAAAGCATTGGTAATCCTGTTACTTGAGGCTACATAACAACTAGGTCGTGAAGTTGTGAGAATAGGGTGTACCACCAAGCATGCCTACCTTTTTTTCCTTACCTTTTCAAGGTGGGACAAAAGGGGAAAACAAATACACCTTTTCAACTCTTGCTTGCTGAGACCGGATCTGCTCCTCATACATGGCGCCTCACAATGATCTCACAAGCACATCCCACTGTACATTGGGAACATCTGCCGTACTTGTGTGTTATTATTTATGGGAGATGTTCCCAATGCACGGTGGGATGTGCCTGTGAGGCACCCTGTGTGAGGAGCAGATCCCAATTCTTGCTTGCTCCCTCAGCTCCCAACAAAAAAGTAAAAGAAAATGTCACCTTGACGGCTTGATCTTTCTCTTTCAACATCATTTTACCCCTCTGTTTCTTACTTATGTCCAGTCCTATATATTACTGTATTACAGTTGTACCTGTACACAGTTACACACACATGATACATTCTAGCATTCACAAAAATATACATATGCATGTATACATGCTCTGCAACCACTACATACTTACACATGCTCGCTCATGCACCTTGTTTTGAGCTAAAATTTAAATCTCCCTCTAATTGTTTTGAAGTTTTTAGTTTCTTGTACTTTTCCTTGAGCCCCACATGGAATAGGAACTCGAAGCTCATTGAGCTCATCAGTAGGAATTGGCTCCCCTTGGGTAGGGAACCAAATGGGGAGTCTACATACATGCTGGCTCCCATGCTTGGAGGGCTGTGGGGAAATCTTTATCACATGCACATGCACTGAGCCCAGATGGATCAGGCTGGGGCATCTCTTTAGGTGTGTATGCGTGACTAACTAAAATTATTTTTTACATGGAGTTCACTTCCTTTTCTTGCTTTTACTTTCTAACTTGTTCACTTGTTAGTAGTATCTTTCTCTACTTCCTACAATATATAGCATATATCATATTGTATAATAATGTGCATATATAATATATTATATATTACATAGCATAATATTTAGAGAATAGAGAGATACTTTGACTTATGGGGGCACTATTGTCATTTTGTAATCTACAATTCAAGTATATAATGAAATGAATGAACACATGCTCCAATCTTTTTGAAAGTTGATACAAGGAAAGTATTGTATTCAGAAGAATGAAAATATAAGACGGCACACCACCACCTTTTTGCTGGTGAGTAGATTTGATTTTTCAAATTCTTTAACAAGCATATATGAATGCATGCCCCATTTGGCATCCGTGACTGAACCATAAATTATTGCTCATAAATTTCTGTGGTGCTTAATAGGATTACCTCAAATGAAGCAAACATATCCCCTACACATTTGCGTGGTCCTCCACCGAAGGGCAAATAACTGAGAAAGGAAAAATGCTGATGTGATGGATATGGTCAAAGTTTTTTTTTTTTTTTTGGTACTGATATGGTCAAAGTTTAAACATGAAAATACAAAACATAAACAGTAATGATGATGATGACACGAAAAAATAATGGTAGTGTCTAAAGATGATTAGCTTCACATCTAAAAGACTACTAAGTACTACAAATATTTAATTAAGATTGAAGGTAACCAAGAAAAGTATATAGTGAGACTTGCCATGGAAATCAACAATAATAATAAGAAAATAAATTAAAAACTAATGATCATGGAAGAAGAAGAAGGCTCATGGCCCAATAACAGTAAGACCAACAGGTTACTAAAATAATAAAGAAAAGAAAGGGGAAGTAGCTAAGCCCGCTTCTCAACAGTGAGATTCCTTTTTGTTGCTTTGCTACCAGAAGAATAGATGTTTGCAGAAAGACAAAAAAGCCCATGTGGAATAAGTTCAAAATTTAATGCATAATCTAAACTTTCTATGCTAAATACATCAAGAGTGAACTATCCAGAAATGTGTTTTTAACTTTTATTCAGTGAAGCTGCCCACTGTTGTATGCATTTTGCAGTGTTCCAGAATTACCTGAATCTAATTGATTCATAACAGCCCACTTGTCTTATGATATCAAAGTTATTTGGCATTGACTGCGCCTTAAATCAACAATGAATTCAAAAGCGTGCTTGAAGTGGAAACTTTATTTATTAAAGAACATACTAGAAGAAATTCAAAAGATCTTATTCATTTTTTACTTCTTTCCTTTCAGTCGTAATCAGTCATGAACAGACAAATTATGCCATCTTTTGGAATGTTATTTCCTTGCCTAAAATTGGATCTGGAATTTGTTAGACAGTGTATGCCCTTAGCTCCAATCAGATCGATGTCCATATACATTTATTGTAAATGAATAAAAGTACATTATTGTTTCATGTTAATATTGGTATGTTTCTATGAAATTACCCCTTAAATTGGACACTAATGAGACTCGTGTTAGTTTAAAATGTTCTTAGCCGTTGGATAGACTTGGGGAGTTTATCCTGCCAAGGCTGACACTGAACTCGAACCATGCAGTGTGTGTTTGGTTGAAACACTGAACCCGAACCATTTTCCAGTTATGCCCTGAACCTTGGAGATTGATGGGCAAAACTGAAAAGTTACAAATAACCCCTAGACTTGATTATGGTACTGCACTAGGTGTTGGATTGGGTTGTCTTTGATATGCCAATTAGTGAGATCCATTCAGGGTCAAAACCTGGGTATGTTGGATTGGGCTGTCTGAGTGGGTGATCATAGTGATAAGATCGGCCCCTTTGTCGGATAAAGTGAATGATAGGGTTTACACTCTCTCTAGTGGAAACCTAAACTGCTGACAGTGGATTTCAACTGTGTTTGAGATTTGGTTTTGCAAAATATATTTATATGATATATATATATATATATATTATGTTTTATAGAAAAATGTTTGCAAAAGGTTTTAATTCCCAGGATCCATCCGAGCAGGAAGTGTAACATTGCACCTTGCAGCCAGGGAAGAGGTCCTTCCTTGTCGAGCAGTGTTTGATCATTATGGGCCGAGAGTTTAAGCGTAACAAACCATTAAGGGCTGATTTACCTGATGGGCTCTATCTTACTTAAGTCCATTATCCTTGGGTCTTCATAGGATGGATGAATTCAAAGATCATTTAAGTGTAAATGTTGGGCCCATATTGAGTCCATAGTGATGTGCTCAAGGGTTTACTGCCTTTAGCAGTGAATTCGGCCAAGCCTTTTCACAAAGGTTGGGTTGAACCCATGTGGACTTATGTGAGGTCATTGTGGGGTCCCACGCCATACAAATCAGGCCTAAGTTGGCCATGCAACATCCTTGGGTCGTGAGCCTTATAGCTGATGGGCCTAAAGCCCATAATTAATATGATTAATTAAGCTGTCACATGATAACTTAAGTTGTCGTGACATGGGGCGAATCTTGGGTTTGGAAATGGGTATGGAGCACCTATCCTCTTAAGAGGATAAGGCTTATCTCTTAATAGAGTCCAGATCCAAATTAGATTTGGATAATCTCCTAATTTGATTAGGAGAAGTGCTCCATAATGAGATAAAAGAAGAAGAGGGCGAACTGATCAAGAACTCCTCTCAATTCTGCTCTTTCTCTTCTTCTTTTGTCTTCCAAGAAAGCCTAATTCGACTACAACTTATTTGGGACTGATATAGATCATTTTTTCCTCTGATTTTTGCTAGAAAAATCCAGAGGAATTTCGTGCTCACTTTCCCCAATTCGACCCAAGTAGTTGGGTTGCAGTTTTGCTGAAAACTGTGTTGCTGAACCGGTTTCAAGAATACACTGCGCCATCTTCAGTGGAGGCTGGTTTTAGGACTGATTTGGGTGTGAACTCCCACCTTGGGATCTACGTTTGTGGTATCCGTATCAGGTATACATCTCCCTCTTTGTTTGGTTTCAAATCTGGTCCGGTTTAGTGCAAGACTGATCCTGAAAAATGTATTTTTTCAAAATATAAGGAATTCAATTCTCGGGAGGATTAGGAAGTTTTTTAAATTTTGCCCATCCATTCAGCATGGTTCGACCATCCATATGATGGATCCTGACCCTTCCTACAGAATTTAAAAGAATAATAGCAAGAACATGCTTGTAGGATGAATTATTTTGCAACATGACTTGGGAAGAATAACCAGTGGGATAAATGAGTGGTGTCCAAACATCTGAAAGAAGCTACAATATGCAACAAATTGAACTAAGGATCTTATAATGAATTTTATTTGTAATTCAAAAATTTCCTCAAATCCAGAGATAACAGGACATATTACTCATTTATTTGAAATGATAAAAATAGAACCATAATAAAGATGAGAGGTGTTATGTGGGAACTCCAATCAATATTTCGGAGTATACAACCTAACATGGAGACTGATCTTGAAATGTTAACTTTAAATTTTCATGGCACGGTCTTAATTATCAACCTATTACAATGTTGAGAAAATAAATAAAGAGCTTTGTACTCAAATAGAGCTAAATAATGAAGTGGTGTGGACGATAGCCTTACATAATGAGCTTACAGTTAAATTGGCACTGGTGTAATTTAATCAAAATATTCTAATATAAGCCAAACAAGAATAGGGGCTGTTAGGGTAAACTCATCATCATCATCATTCGTGCCTTATCCCAACTATATGGGGTCAGCTACATGATCCTGTTTCACCAATCTATTCTATTTAAAGCCGTATCCATTGTTAAATTATTAGTGCTTAAATAATTTCTTACTACTTCTACCCATGTCCTTTTTGGTCTATCCCTAGCTCTTATATCCTCTTCCACTTGTAACAAATCACTTCTTCTAACTGGAGCTGTTGACAGTCTTTCTATGCATGTGACCAAACCATCTTAGTCTACTCTCTCTCTCTCTCTCTCTCTCTCTATCTATCTATCTATCTATCTATCTATCTCATTTTATCACTTATTAGAGCTACTCCTAGGTTTCTAAAGGTGGCTTCATTCCTGATCCTATCCTTTCCAGTTTTCCCACTCATCCATCTTAGTATTCACCTTTCTACCACACTCATTTTCTGAACAAGTTGATTCTTGTCTGCCCAACACTTTGTTCCATACAATATAGTTAGCCTTACAACTATTTTATAGAAATTTCCTTTTAATCTAAGTGGTATTCTTGTATTGCACAAAAGTCTATGCACCCCTCCATTTTGCCCAACCTGCTTTAATTATTCCGGTAACACCCTCTTCAATCTCTCCCTTGTTATGAATTATTGAACCAAGGTACTGGAAATGGTCGTATTGAGTTATCTCTTGGTCTCCAATCCTAAGTGTATCCTGATTTACACTCCTATTATTACTAAATTATATGCCATATACTCTATTTTAGTCCTACTTATTTTTAAACCTCTTGTTTCTAGGATATTTGTACATAAGCTTAATTTTGTATTTAATCCTTCATTATGTTCATCAATTAAAACAATGCCATCCGTAAATAACATGCACCATGGAACTTCTTCCTAAATATGTTTAGTTAATTCATCTATGATAAATGCAAACAGATAAGGGTTAAGTGCTGAACCTTGGCAAAGACCCATCGTAACAGTAAAGTCTGAAGTTTCTATTGGAGGTTCTTAGGGTAGATTAGTAATGTTGATAAATTTAGGGTACTTGTATGTATTTATGGGAGGAAGAGGGGCTTGTGTGAAATTCTGATATAATTTGGTCTTTTGTTTATTTAAGCCATTGGTTATGTGGGATTAGGGTTGAGTGAGAACGAACATTTTGTTGTGAGTCTGAAGAGAGGTAAGTCTTGTATCTCTTATTCCCGAAGTGGATGTTTTCCCTCTCTTCCCATGGATGTAGGCTATAGAGCTGAACCGCGTTAAATCTTGGTGCTTTCTCTTTTCTTCATATCTTGGTTTACCATTCTCTTTCTTGCTGGTTGACATTCTCTCCCATTGGTGTTCTAACATTGGTTTTGTCCTCTCATATATATCCTTAATTAGGTCTATATACCTATTTTGAATCCCTTTCTCTTCCAAGACCTACCATATTATTTCTCTAGGAATTCTATCATAAGCCTTTTCCAGATCAATGAACACTATATGGAAATCCTTCTTCTTTTCTCTAAACTTTTCTATCAATCGTCTCAAAAGAAATATAGCTTCCATGGTTGATCTCCTTGGCATAAAGCCAAATTGGTTCTCTGATATATTTTCAAGTTGTAATCTTTGTTAAATTATTCTCTTCCAAAGTTTCCTAATGTGGCTCATGAGTTTAATCCCCCAATAGTAATTACAACTTTGTATATCACCTTCGCTCTTAAATATAGGCACCATACTGTTATTTCTCCAATCATCAAACATCCTCTTTTCTTTTACTATCTTATTAAATAGGCTAGTTAGCCATAACAAGCCTACCTCTCCCATACCTTTTCACATTTCTATTGGAATCCCATAAAGTCCTAAAGCCTTTCTCTTCTTCATCTTATTTAGTGCCTCTTTTTACTTCAGTAGGTCTAACTCTATGAAGGTACGCATTATTTTTAACACTACTAATACTGCTAATAATTGAAACAATGGCCTTAATGAGCTACCTATTTTGTTAATTGTTATATTCCATTGCTTATAGCAAGGGGAACATGGTTTTATCCAAATGGTGTTTCAACAAAGGGGGAGTTAAAGAATGGATTCAACAAAATAGACTAATAATTGAGGTCTTGAGGGTCAATATACCGTAACCACATTTAGAAAACTTAGGTTATGCCATAATTTTCTTAGATTTTTCTAAATTGTCAAAAACTTAAAAAGAATTAATAAGGAAAAAAAAGGATCATCCATGTTGACATTCATAAGAAGACCATCTACAACACCCACAGGAAGATTTCTTGGAAGTTGAAGTGGCTAGAAGGACTAGGTGCAGATAAAAAAGGACATGGAATGAAGTTGTAAGAAACAATCTAAGTGCTCATTATTTAATGATGGGTATAGCACTAAACAGAATGGAATGGTGAAACAGGATTCATGTAGTCGGCCCCATATAGTTGGGACAAGGGTTGGATGATAATGATGATGATGATCCATGTTGACCTTGATGGCTTTACAGATTATCCGCTTTCCTTTCAAGGGTACTAGTGTGATTGTGATGAGGTGCTTATTTATAATATTGAGTTCCTTACTTCCTGCGAATGTGAATTGCTAAAATTTTCTATCTTAGTGAAGTCATGACTAGAATTAGTTCCTTCATGGAAAGGAATTAGTTTTCAGGAGCCATTGATTGGTGCAATGGTAAAATCTTGGGCTAACAAGCATGAGAATGTAGGTTCAAGTCTTAAAGGCCTTTGAATGCCCTTTATGGAAAGAAAGTCAGAAAAATCTTGCATATTTTTCTTTCTCCCTTTTTGTTAAAGAAAAATGTAATGGAATGATTTTAAAGTCTAACAGGGTTTCCGGATTTTCTATTTTCAATCAAAACTTAAAGAGTTTGTAGATTTTGAAGCAACTCCTCAATAGTTATTTTAAAAAATTGCATTTGTGACATGCTTATAAGTTGGCATCTAAATAATTGTCCCAAGATGCACAAATTCTATGTACTTTACAGCGTCAAGAAGCCTAAGAAAAGTAGCAACATAAGATACTCAGGCATGTAGAAATATTCATTGTTTTTTGCAGCATTCACTGTTTTTCCTTTTTTTTTCTTGTTTTCCAATTAGCATAATGAACCAACTGGAAAGGTAAAGAAGTTAAAGCAAATAAAATATCACAAAAAAGGACCAACACAAGAAGTAAAACCAACCAACATAAGGAATAGAGAAAGAGAAAACCACAAACATCTGACCAGCATAAAGAATGCCTTAATAATGCAAAATTGCAACTAGTTGAAAATAACCTGAAATCTTGGTTGATCTCATTAGGATTTGGTCCATCTAGGGGCCACCTTTCAGGATTGAACTTATCTGCTTCAACCCAATGATCAGGGCATCGGTGCAAGTTCCAAACAGAAATAAAAATATCTTCACCCCTGCCAATGAACATAATGCATAATATAACTTCAACATTGTGCTCAGATTAAAGCAATGACATAAGAATACTGTAATTTATAAATTTAGTTCTCGGGTAAATATACTGCAAATATTTTAACTATAAGATCTGAATAAAGTACTCAAACATATGCCTATGGTAAAATAAAATAAGTAATCTGGTCTACCTGAAATTGTACCAAAATTAAAAAGAATATTACACAAATTGCTAAAAAGACAATGTTAAGAAAAAGGAACTCATGAAAGGAGTTCTTATGAAGATATCATTTGTCCATATCCACAAGAGGATATACTGAGTACCGTGGCATCTTCAAGCAAGGACTTGAAGTATCACTAAAGGAAACAACAGTTATTTGACTTCACTGAGAAGTGAAAAAGTCCTTATTCCCTGCCATTTTCTGGAGTTTATCATCCGATTTTGTCATGTAAGTACAGTGATTTTTTTATTCAAATTGCAAGACATTTTTTTTATCACAAAGGTAAATTTTAATCAACATTTATTAAACTCGAGGTTGCAATTCTGTGGGTAAGTTACCCACTTCCATAGGATTATCCAAATACAACTAGACTGCAATCCCTAAACCCAACCTTACAATTTAGCCCAAAATAATTTCTGTCTATTTGCCCCCTGTTTAGTTAAAGCATCTGCCATGCCATTTGCATTTCTTCTCACCCATTTAAAAGTCACACCTGATTCCCTTGTTAAGCTTTTAATTTCCCTGATCTTGTGCCTGTAAACCCAAGGAGTTTGGCAGTGAAATTTTGTCCAGGAAATAACCACCTGGGAGTCTCCTTCCACTTCTAGCATCTGAACCCAACTTTTGCGAATTTCAGCCCTTGAAGCAAAGCTAGTAATTCTGCTGTCAATGGATCTCCTTGCTCTACAGGACCCTAATAAAGTGCTAGTATCTCACCTTCTGAATCTCGAAATACACCCCCTAAACCAGCCCTTCCTTCACTTACCAAGAAGCTTCCATCAAAGCTTAGTTTCACAGCAATGGGTGTTGGTGGTCTCCATTCCATAATCACTCTCCTTCTCTTGAGCCAAATTTGCCACTTCCATGATCTCAAAATATCACTAAAGGAGAAGTCATGAAAGATTTTCAAGGTTTTTACCCAATGTGCAAGGCATTTTCTCTCCTCTGTTCTTTTCTTTTTTATAAGCAACCAAGAGATATATTATGTATTATAGACAAAAATATTCTAAGTAAAAAAAAAAGAACAGAGGAGAGAAAGATGCATTTTCAATAATGGTGATTAAGTACCTTCAAGAAAGACAAAATTATATCAATAAAACCAAGAAAACCCACCCTTCACAAAACCAAGACAACCCACCCTTGTGTCCATGTTCCCTGATTATGCCCGATCCTTGAACCCCTTGTGAGAGAGGAAGATCATATTTAATGGAAATCAAACAAAATATAGTTAGGTTAGAATGCCACCTATATCTTACTGATTGTGAAAATACAGAAGATACAAAAAAGCGTAAAACTCAGGAATCTGGGTCCAACTGGTGCATTTTCAGTTGCCTCACCTCACTGCCTGGGAGCATTCTCCTTTCTTACTTTGGCCTTTTTTTTGTTTACTGTGATTAAGCAAAGATCTAGTCGCTACTACATTTGGGCCAATGTATTCCTTGGGATTTCAGGGCATCGGCTCTCAGTCTCAGGTGGCCATTGAATGAATTAAAAATGGTTCAGATGGTCCTTGGAGTTTGAGGCACTATATTAGGGGCTTAAAAGATTTAGCATCTATTGAGTGTAGCAAAAATGCAAATACTGAGATGGATAGGTGGAAAAGCTAGGAAGGAAAAGATTAGAAATGAACATATTTGTAGGAACTTAGGAGTATCTCCATTAGAAGAAAAAATGAAGGAAAGTGGACTAAGATGGTTTGGTCAAGTGTAGAGAAAAACATCTACAGAACTAGTGAGAAGAAATGATCTGTTGCAAGCTGAAGGGTCTAGAAAGAGATAGGGGCAGGCCAAAAAGGACATGGCTGAAGCAGTGAGAAATGATTTGAAGGCCTATAATTTAACAATGCATATGGAGCTGAATAGAGTAGAATAGCAGAAAAGGATTCATGTAACCAACCCCATGTAGTTGAAGGGATGGGAGATCCATCATATGGATGGCCGAACCCTATAGGAAGGTTGGGCGAAATTTAAAAAATTTCTTTCTCTCCTATCCGGGAATCATATTCCTTAATTTAGAAAACTGCATTTTCAAGGTTCATTCTTGAATCAAAACCGGACCAGATCTGAAACCAAAAGGGAAGTGAGGGATATACCTGATACGAAGTAACAGTAACTCCCAACGTAGGCGTTCATGCCCAAGGAGAAGACTAAAACCTGCTTTCATTGAAGATGACACAATGTATGGTGAAATAGGATCAATAGGATGGTTCTTCAGCAAGAACCTGAGATTCTTCAGCAAGAATCGAGCAAGGGCTGGTGAGCACAACTTCAGATTATTTCTTCTAGCAAGAAACAATATCAAGAACCTTTCTTGATCAGTTCCACAGGTGGAAATCAAACTAGGTAGGGGCGGCAAGAACAAGGGAGAATTCTGTAAGTTGCTGAGTGTGTGTAAACTGAGGAATTCGTCCCCTATTTATAGCCTTCTTTGGCTCAGCCTCCTAATCCAATTAGGAGAGAGTTTCTTGATCCAAATATCGATCTGGACTCTTAAATGGATAAGACTTATCTTATCCTTCAGCTAATCCTAATCAAGTTATAAATATGATTTCGCCCCTTTTTAATTAACTGACTTAAGCCCAGTTCGAAATGGGTTTTAGGCCCATTAAGTCATATTGCTCACTTACCCTTTAATATGCTAGCTAACTTGGCTCTCTTTGTATGGCGCGGGACCCTAACATTAATCTACACATCAACCACATGGGTTCAGCCCAGCCTCTGTTACAAGGCCTAGCCGTATTCACTATAGGACACAATGAACCCTTGAGTCCATCACCATGGGCTCTTAATGGGCCCTCACTTACCCTTTAATATGCTAGCTAACTTGGCTCTCTTTGTATGGCGTGGGACCCTAACATTGATCTACACATCAACCACATGGGTTCAGCCCAGCCTCTGTTACAAGGCCTAGCCGAATTCACTATAGGACACAATGAACCCTTGAGTTCATCACCATGGGCTCTTAATGGACCCAACATTTACACTAAATGGTCATTGGGTCCAACCACCTTATGAAAACCCAATGACTGTGAGCAGATGTAAGATTAACCCATCAGGCATTATCCTTAATGGTCTTACACTTGACCTCTCAGCCCTTAATAATCATACACTGCCCGACAAGAGAGGACCTCTCCCTCGACTGCAATGTACAATATTGCACTCTCTACTCACATGGATCCTAGGAATTAAAACCTTTTGCAACCAATTTGGAACCATAATATATATATACGTATATCTCTATATAAATATATTTTGCAAAAACAAATTTCAAACACATTTGAAATTCACTGCCGGCAGTTTAGGTTTCCATCAGAGAGAGTGCATTCCCCGATCATTCACTTTGTCTGACAAAGGGGCTGATCCTGTCACTATGATCACCCACTCAGATGAATTCTCGGACTATCCCAACACACCCAGGTTTTGACCCCCTCTAAGGATCTCACTGATTGGCATATCAAAGACGGCCCAATCCGACACCTAGTGCAGTACTATAATCGAGTCTAGGGGTCAGGTGTAACATTCCAGTTTTGCCCACCCGTCTCCAAGGTCCAGGGCACTACTGGAATTTGGTCTGGTTCAGGGTTTCAAGAAAACCCACACTGTATGTACCTCAGGTCTCACCCTGACAGCTAAGACAAGCCACCCCAACCAACTTGGCAGCACATCAGTGTCAACCTTGGCAGGATAAATTTCCCCAGATTTGTCCAACGGCTGTGAAGATTCTAAACTAAACGAGTCTCATAAGTGTCTAGTTTAAGGGTATTACACAGAAACACACCAAATCACATGAATCAATTATGCACTTTTATTCATTTACAATAAATGTTATCAAGTACATCAATTTGATTGGAGCTAAGGGCATACATTGTCTAATAGTAGTTGGGACAAGGCTTAGTTGAGTTCAAATTTGGCATCTAGTGTGAACATCTTGTTCAGATGGATTCCCTGAAACCTAACTCACTTGTGGATAGTCTTGCCAGGGTTGGGTGAGTAGGGTGGGGAGCTTTGTAGTAGAGATCTACTTTTCTAGGGTAGCTCTACATTTTTATCCTCCTCTCAGGATTATTTTGCAGTTCTTTGGACAGTGAAATCTGCAACCAGCCACCTTTGTTATGGTTGACCACTTTGTCTTTTTTTTGATAAATTCTTCTTATCAATGGTAAAATTTAAATAAAAAACTTACTGATGAATATATCAAATGATATCTGTTTTATTCTATCTTGCATTTTCCTTTATCAGGAAGGACCATAACACCATTGCAACAAAATAGGACCCAACAGCACAGACAATAAAGGATAAGGTGGTCCCTAAGCAATATGGTGAATGATAAAAGGATGAATTCCTCTTTTATCATTTCCTCACATATGAATGCAGATTTCCAATGTTTTTTCTAGGTTTCCTACATTTCAATAGTTCCACAACTTGTGCAAAAATCTGAGCATGTCAATTGAAATTCCCAGCATAATGTGATCCACTAGATATCACAAGGATCTGAACATCAGCACGAAAAGCCTTAGAAATTACAATACATAGTAACATTAAATAGAGAGCTATCACTGTTCTCTATGGAAAACGTTTTTATAAATAATAGGTTATCCAAAGGGTACACTCAAATTACCTCTTTATTGGGTACCCTCCAAGCATGTCATCCTCAAGAGAACGACGAATCAACACAGGCGGTTGGGGGTAGAGCCTCAAAGACTGCAGGTAGGGGGAGGAGGACATAAACAACTTGAAGTCATAAGAGATGTATGGATCCCAATTCAGAAATAATATATACCTCAAAGGAATTTAAATATAAAGAGACATGCATCCTATATTTAGATGCCAATTTCTTACTTCATTGATAACTCGGGTTGCATATTTTAATTTCTTCATGTCATCAATAGTTGGAAATCGATCTCCGAGGACAGAATCAACCTATTTACAAGAATTAAACTATTATTGATACAAAATAATCTGAATTATATGCTGAAAATATAATGTAGAATTTTACCCACTACCCTTAGTCTTTTAGAGTAAATACCCTGCCTAACATTATATGCTGAAAATATAATGTAGAACTTTACCCACTACCCTTAGTCTTTCAGAGTAAATACCCTGCCTAACGTTGTTTAAGGGAAAACTGAAAACTAACCTCATGGTATACTCTGGACCATTAGAAAAGGGGGACTCAATTTATTCAGAGTTTCAAACTGCCTTTCATGGCCTAAAACTTTGCAAGCATCTTAATCTGCACGATGTAGAGGTTGAAGGAGATTCTAATGCAGTGATCAACTGGTTGAGGGAGGATTCCAAAGGGGCTCAGCAGTACAGATATTCCTTAGGAAAGGCTATCTCTTTTGCAAGAGAAATAGGTAGGGGTGGATTCGAGCTGAACTGAGCAGAATATCTGGCTATTTGAGCCCAGCTCGCCAAAAATCCACGAGGCTCAAGCTCTACTCGAGCTAGAGATTTGAGTGTGAATTTGGCTCAGCTCAAAAGCTCATATGTTCGAGCTTGAATGTGATCCAAGCTTCCTATAAAAAAATAAAAATAAAAATTATTTATTAAAATGTATAAGCTCAATCAGGTTTGCGAGCCTTATTAGGTTCAAGCTTGACTTGATTAGCAAACGCGCCTATATATTGGGCTCAAGTTCAGCTCAAAGCTCGGTTTAGACCGAGCCGAACCAAGCTCTTTACGAGCTGAGCTCGAATAGTTCATGAAAAGCTTGATTCATTTCCACCCCTAGAAATAGGGGTGACTTGGTCTTGTACACCTAGGGCAGCAAACAATATGGCTGACAGCTGGATAGACAGTCTAAGGGTTTGGTTACTTTGTAATTTTATTGGGATACTCCATCAGGGTTTGGTTAGGTAGCACTTGCTAGTCCATTTTTCTTTATATTTCTGTACATATTCTTTTCTACAATAAAATGTTCTGTTACCTCTCAAAAATAGTACTGAAAACTAACCTCATTTTGAAGCTTGGACATGACACTAGGTTCCTGCAGAGATACAAAGAGATTGTTTAAAAATATGACATTTATTCCTTCTGTAAATAGTGATGTGTAAAATTACAGTAGCATGAAAAAATTGTACCACATAACATTTATTTTCTTTTGGGTAGCACAGTCCATAACTAGATATAGATATTTAGGATATTTAACAATGAGGAACTTAGGATATTTAACCATGGTAACTTGTCAAACCAAGACCTAAGGTAGAGAATGTTGAATCACACCAATTGATTATTTGATCAATGTTTTAGAAGGCAAATGCATGAATGGAGGCCTTAAGACCCCCCAAATGTGTTATGCACTAACTTTGAGCCATGAGACTTGGGATCTTATTGCATTTAAGAGAAATACAATAAGTGATTTAACCATGACATAAGCAAAATAATGTTGAAAAAAGAAAGTACCTAAACTAATATTCATCCATTTATTTATTTACACATTGTAAAGAAGTCATATTTATGACAAAAATACACTGCATTCCTACAAATCAATCACTGCCTATTACACAACTATTAATATAAAATGAAAACTCAAAAGTATGTTAAAAACCTTGTGTAAGCTACCAAATTAGCAGCAGGGGTAAACAAGCAAGTGGACTGCACCAAGAAAGCTCCCATTCCACATAAAATGGCAGAAAAACAGAATTTCCTCTATACGACAAAGTTCCCTCTGTATATAGTTGATCTCAGATTTTCTCTTCATAGAGAAACTTTCCTTATTTGTCCTTTTCTTGATTCAGAAGATATTTCCTTTCGAGGCACACTAGTTCAGCACAATATGTCAGACCATATTATCAAGTGGCTGATGCTAATGTTGACATTTTTGTCATTTTATTATTATTCATACTTACATGTGTGCTTATTGCTTATCCCTCACATCCTACTTCACATTATTCCTAACTTGCATCCTTCATTGTTTCACAGCTTACTCCCATGAACCTCTTTGCATTTCACACATTTTCCCATTCATCACCTCACATGTTTGCTCCAATTCGTGATTCATACACGTTCCCCAACTCATTTTTTGCAATATTTTATCTTATTCTACATTTTGCACCTCTACCTCTTACACCTCGAATATATTAAACATAAAGAATGAAGTGTTAGACTAAACCAAATGATAAAATATACCGAAAATGAGAATAAAAAATTAATCAACAACTGAGTCTTGTGAGCAGGCCCTATTTTCCTTGATGAATAAGAAGGGGAAGGGCATCCTTAACATAAGGCACCTCAATGTGAGATATGTTCTTCATACTACCAGGCATAACCTCAAGGCACTTCAGCCTCATCTTAATAAGTAAGTTCCACATGCATTCTAAAATAGTGGTTTTAATGGTATGATCAGGGTGCAACTTGGGTGGGCTTGGGTTGGGATTTTGTTAAAATTTGAATGGGCCTGGCCCAGAAGCCTAGGCCCAATGCAGTGTAAAGACTTCAAATCAAGTACCCAACTTACACTCCTATGGTAATGCTAGATGAGGAAACTAGGCAACACTTTACTATCCTAATTGCATGTCATTGCACTTTATTTTTGCATGTGATATTTATTTTGGTAAGGTCAATTTAATTTATCTCCAGACATTTATAATAAAAGAAAATTTGTTGTTAAATGAGTTTCTAAGATGTTGAGAAATATTAGACAAAACAATCCTAACTCTGGAATTCCATTGGGTGATTTAATTTTAATTAGCAAGCTTGGGACTGGGACAAAAGGACCTTGCAACAGTCTAGGCACCATAATTGGTAGGATCTCCAGCTATAAGTAGTGGAAACCTGGGATCAAATCCTGTTGCCACCAGGGTTGGGGGGTATGGGTATTGGATGACCTACCCCCATTGTGTATCCCTATGAAGCATCAAAAAATCAGAGCTCAGGACCAACATTCCTTGGGTCCCACTATGGAGAGTTATAGAGCCAGAAATAATCCTGAAAAAAAATGTAGGAAGCCTTCATTTTTGGTAACTAATTGTGAATGTGCTCTTGCTGCATATATTTAGACAGTGGAGAAAAGTTCTGCCAATTTTCTTAGAAAACTGATAATAGCGATGCATGACCAGTTGGTTAAAAGTCAACTGATCGCGCTGAGTTCTTCTGTATGCTCCTTCCTAGGCCAGGAGGTCCAGTACCCATAAAATGATAGGAACTGATCTTCTTAATGCAACATGCAGTAAGTTATGAGGGCTTGAGATTTCCAGTCTGCAATGATGAGTCCTGTGGCCCATTTCAGACAGTTTCATCTTCAATAACTCTAAGTAGGGTAATCCTATAAGGTTAAAAACAAGAAATATCCACTTGTCCTGACCAAACCTTCCTGTAACATACCGTAGAGAGAAGGTAGAAGGTCCATGTTAAAACTGCAGCAGATGTTTCATGCCCAGCTATAAGCATTGTCATTAGGTCATCACGGAGTTGCTTGCTGGAAACCTACAACAAAAAGGATGTTCAGTTCATATGAATATTGATATGAATATGAACATTCAATAACAGATGTCAATAGCAGATATTGTTTGGAAATATCAAAAAGGTTGATACATCATCTCCTGACGCCAAGAGAAAGTGAAGAATACTAGGATCTTGCTCATTCATGTATTCCTCGTGAAACTGCAGTTCTTCTTGTTCTACCATTCTCTGCAAATACAAAAGCAGATGCAAAATCAACAGATTAGATGGCTATAGATTATTAAAATGATCTTACACATCAAGGGACCTAATAGGGTGCAACTTGGGTGGGCCCAACCTGAGCCTGGACTGACCCAGAATGCAATTTTACATGGACTGAGCTTGGATTTTTGGTCCTCAAGCTGGGCTTGCACCCAACAATTCAAATTTTTTTGGGCTAGGCCCACGCCTAGCCCTTAGGTAGCCCGAGCCTGGCCCGGCCTTATCCCAACCCAAGCCCAGCCCGACCATACATAAATACATATTTGCATACATTCATACATTAGATTTTAGTGTGGACTGATTGTCTAAGGGGCATGTACCCTCATACAAGTACATGCTGCACTCGCATAGCAAAATATGCATCTGAACATGGTCAGCAGAAAACTTATCCACTAGTAAAATCTTCCTTTTTTTTCCTTTTTCTTTTTTCTTTGCTCACTCTCCCCCTGCAGGAAACAAAAAGAAACAAATTTGGTCCCTTTGAGTTACTTAGATAAGCAGCTTGTAAGAACTTGTGTTTCTTTATTCTTCTCTGTTTATTCTCCCTCCAAAAATCCTTGACTTGATCGAAGTACTTCCTACATCATTTTATAGTTGCAAACTTGCAATGCTGCATGGCAACTGGAAAAGGTTGAATATATATAATCATGATGGAGAGATTATCAACTCCAGAAAGGAAAACTCAATGTCAAAAATATTGAAGGTGAAGCTGAATATGCTAATTTATTGGAAGCTTCAAAGAAATTGGCATCCTGATCTATATTGTGAATCTAACAATTATGAAATCAAAGGACTTCAAAAATGGAATATGAAGGAATCATGATGTCTCATATACTTTCAGTCAATCCTTCAGTAGATGGTAGAACTTTTTAGTGGGATTCTGCAGTTGATTGTAATGTAGAGGCTGGGGTAAGGCCAAAGTCCTCCTTTTTTCTTTTTGATCAGAAACCAAAAAATATCAATGTATTAACAATGTGAAAAAAATGTTGCTGATCAAAAAATAAATGTTATATAAACTTGCAAAGCTTCGTCAACAAATTCCCCCTAGTTCAGGCTAGGCCCCTTCCTGCCTTCCCCTTTACATCTTTCTTCTCTCCCTACTTTTTCATCACTTAAGACACAACACCCCTAAACAACTGATCTCTGTCAACTCCTTGTCTAGCTAGAGCATCTGCTAGACCATTTGCCAATCTCTCAACCCATTAGATTCTTGCTGCTAGATCATCAACTAATATCTGAACCTTCCTCGTATCATTCCTCTGCTTCCAAGAACTTTCCTGCTTGTTTTTTAACCCATTCCACAAGCACCTTCAAATCACCTTGCACCACTAAGTTGCCATAGTTGAGTAACTTAGCCATTTTTAGATGTCCAGAACTGTCTGTAAACATCCCCCCCCCCCGCCAATATCTTCTTTTATTGATTAAGAAAAGAGTAAATTACAGAAGGGTATCCTGTACTTTGGGGGTAGTGACACTTGGCCCCATAAACTTTCTCTTGACAGTATGGCCGGCCAGAAATAAGAGGAAGAGAAGAGAAGAGAAGAGAAGAGTGGAGAGAAGAGAGGAGAGAAGAGAGAAGGGTTTTGCAATGTAACAGTGCTGGTGGCACCAGCCTTTATTTTAATATATATAGGGCGGTAGAAATAACAAGGGAAAAGACCCTTGTGCCCCTGAGTACAATAACAGACATAACAGAAAGAAAAAACGAAATAAAAAACACTTTAACTAGCCAAACAGACCCTAACATCAGCAACTAAATTATTTTAA